TATCAATCTACGCGGAGCGACGTTATCGTCGACTGGAAAGACTGTAAGAGGAACCACGCGTTAAAGTTTAAACGCGCCACGACATCGAACTCGAGTGAAAATTTCGGTCGTATTCTTTTAGCACCGACGCGATCTGGACGATACGACGAAGATACGAGGAGAGTCTGAGCCTCGTATGAATTTCATGGCTGGCTTAAATCGCGAACGATGATCCACGACCACCTGAATGGCTCGATCGAGACACAGGACCCTCCGGATATAGGAATGTAATATCCAGGATGAACAGCGGTTATTTAAAGTTTCATTTGAGATCCGAGTGTCCCAGGTTTTACAGTGGTTTGAGTGAGCGCTTGGTTCTAAGGTCTACCTGAATGGGTCGATCGAGGAGTTATCGGTTCCAGATATGGGAATGTAATATCTAGGATGAACAGTGGATCGAGAAGAAACGTGGTTGTTTGAAGTTTCATTTGAGATCCGAGTGTCCCAGGTTTTACACCTGGTCTAGTTAGAGAGCAGGATAATTGACCAACTACGCAAGGTCTCTTCAGAAGTTCGATTAGAGATTCACGACCAGTGTAATCAGCTCAAATATCATGGTGGTTAGAGCGAAGATTTGATCTCCAGGTGGTCAGGTAGCTCAAACTGGAGATTCGAATGTCTAGAGGTCCAGCTAATGAACACTTAGTCACTTAACCGGGCACCCCAAACCTTTCAGTAGACCGGGGACAACTTCTGAGGGCTCAGCTGGGGAACTCATATGGCCACCAAACTCTCTAATTAGGTATCCCAAACTTCCGGGAGTCAAGCGTAGCCCAGATTACTTACAATTAGCGATACTAACAAGAATACAGTGCTTCTTAACCTTTTAATATCCCGACCTAGAAAGCGTAGTAGTTGTATTTTTAAAGCAAACGACTTTATCGTACAAGTTGAATTAAGAAAAATGGAATGTAAATTAATCATTGAGTAAGTTTTCTAACAATCTCTTCGAATCTTCTGGTGACTTAAACATGTAACTATCCAACATCCGCGACCATTTTGGTTATTCGGTTAGACTCGATCCATGGGCATCTACTGAAATTGTTGAAACTTTTCCTAGATTCGATTCCTAAGTTCCAAACAGATGAAATTCCACCCCCGTGGTTAGTAAATCTATTTCAATAGGACGGCACGCTCCAAAACTATCCGTTCCGAGCACGTGCCTCGGACAAGCCGCCAAGAAAGTTTAGGACATTACAGTATTGTTATATACTCGGCGGATCAGACCTCACGTTCCCTCAAATAGAGAGCCCAACGATACTCCGCAAGCTGCTTCGTCCGCTATAGTTGCAGAGTCGAGCAACGGAGACCACATTCTGTATACATTTAAATATTGTTTCCCGTCTGACTCGAGCTAATTTCATTCGAGAATAAACAAAAGTTGCAAATTCCGCAAATTAGAATTTATTCGAACAGAAAATTCACTGATTCTCCTTTGGCCAGTTGGTTATGGAAAACGTAATAAAAATTAAATTCTTCTAATCACACGTCAAAAATGATACAATATGATACGATTAATAAATAAAATTCTACGATGTCGTAGGATTTGAACTTGAGACAAAATATTACTAATTTTCTACGCTAACCACTATAAATTATACCAGTTATTCTTGACTCGAATGATTTATTATTAAAATATTACACTTATTTTTTTTATAAGCAACTGGCCATCTACAAGCCTTGGAAATATAATTAAAATCGGTGAGGATCTAACATTTTTTTTGAGAGTAAAATTTCGTTTCGATGGTCTAAGTTTCAGTCACAATCTTTCCAGATAGCAGAGGAGAATAAATAAGGTGTAACAAGTTTGAAATATAATGATTACAATATCAGGAGTATTCTAGGAACCGTATACCCTGGTGCACCACTATAAAGGGAGGTTTGGCCTAGGAATGACTATACCTCTCATCGTTATCCATGTCATAACGGGGTACGAGAGATCCGCCAGACTCTAATTGGCATAAGCAAGCTGTCTCTCGCGACCCTGTACTGTCAGAACTTAATACAACCTCCCTGGAGATGAGACATTTGCAACGATCGAGACCTGTCCAATGGGAAACACTAAATATCCATTCGAAGCTCAAGACAGCAGACTGTGTGAAATATTTTTACTTATTCTATGATGAGTTAGAAACCGATTAGTCGACTGATCCATCCTCTTTACTCCAACGTCATTCTTGCAGCCAGAATTAAATGCAACATCCCTCGAGGAAGTAACGACCCTTTTCCAAATGGCACAGCAGTGAAATACGTGTGTAACGTAAGACTAATTGCTGTGATAGCAAACTGCAGCGACGCGTCTACCGGATACGAGTCAGTGGAGCCAACGCGGAGGTTGACGGGCCGCTCGAAATTAAGCGATCGCCGTTAACGATAGTCCTGAATGAACAAACAGCGAACGGATTAACCGCGTTTACGCGTCGAATCGATATCCACCGTTGGAAGTCTAGGTGCTCTTAGCGTTTCAATGGCAATTGCACAACCAGTCCCTCCTCCCCCCTGTCGTGTGTGCACGGGTCGCGTGGCGATTCTAACAGGTCCCCGAAAATCCAGTCGCGCCCGGTACGTATTACACGGCCGGTACGTGTTATCCGGCTTAGTCCTGCAAACAGGACGGGGGTGCACGTTGCAAACATAACCCGAATGCAATATGCATGCTGCGGCCGTGACGCGTACCCGCAGGGCAGAACACGTTTCCGATATTCCTGACATCCCCTCGCGGTCGAGTCGAGCCTACCAATTGTTTTTCTCCGTTGTGAAAATAAAGCTGGGCGAAGGAAATCGATGAATTTTGAGGATTTTTAGGATTTTGAGGCGACACTTGTGCGTCGATACGAAGAACACTGGGAGACGAGAAAGCGAAAGGGAAGAAGCGTGAGGGATCGACCACTTGCGAGAAAGAGTTAAGAGCGTGGCCCTCTAGTGGCGGGCGCGGGGACTGTCTCCACAAGAATTAATTAATTTGATTATGAAATATGCTTGAAAGAGTGTTTCAGAAATTGTTAACTTGGTAAATTTTTAATATTATCGATAAATTGTATTCTGAAGGAATTTGACTAGAAAAGTTGGATGAAATTAACCGAGAAATTTCCGCGAAGAATGTTGGATATTGACGCGTAAAGCATATTCCTGACATCCCCTCGCTGTCGAGTCGAGCCTACCAATTGTTTTTCTCCGTTGTGAAAATATAGCTGGGTGAAGGAAATCGATGAATTTTGAGGTCTTTGAGGCAACACTTGTGGACCGATACGAAGAACACTGGGAGACGAGAAAGTGAAAGGGAAGAAGCGTAAGGGGTCGATCACTTGCGAGAGAGTTAAAATCGTGGCCCTCTAGTGGCGGGCGCGGGAACTGTCGCCACAACGTGAAAACAGAAAACGCGATTCTAATGGGGGGGGAATTAATTTGATTATGAAATGTGCTTGAAAGAGTGTTTCAGAAATGATTAACTTGATAAATTTTTAATATTATCGATGAATTGTATTGCAAAGGAATTTGACTAAATCTACGAAGGTTGGATGAAACTGACCGAGAAATTTCCGCGAAGAATGTTGGATACTGACGCGTAAAGCGAAGCACTCGACTTCCGGAAGCAACTCCGAGCGATTTAATTGGCCGAAACTTTAGCAATCTTTCGCGGTAGAACGATTCATTTGCAAGGATGCGGATCCTTCTCGACTTTTCCGTTCCATCGAAGTGTGGAATACGTGGAAATAATAAAAAATTTAATCTCGAACTTTGAGGTGGGAATAAATTGTGTAGTAGGGGACTCTTAATAAATTTCCGACGATCCAGGTGTGTATAAGAGCTGTTAATAAACTAGTTTCCCTTGTAAATCTTGAAAAAATTTCACTTAATACTTGTTCAAAAACAAATGATTATCCCAGTGAACGGATAGGAGCAGTTAGCAAACTTAGATACCTTGATTTTCCATTGTTTATAAAATACCCATTTCCAGCACTAAAATACTCGAACGCTCGTTTGCAAGGCGGTCGAAAAAGCTGAAAAATACGTGGACCGTTTGAAAGAGTTAAAAACTCTCTGATATGGCAACTACAGGGCCCGCATTCACGGCGAAAGTGGCCATTTCAAGCACTTCCGGTAAAGGTACACACGTCGCTCAAGTACAAAAATGCCTGTAACTTGGAAACAGGGTCAAGCAGGCCACGTGTTTATATGAACTTTTTTCATTGCTTTTTCTGTTCACAATCGACCGCTGAAATACCTTCCACGTGTTACCATAACTCTATACATAGACATCCGGTATCAATAAATCAATTAAGAACCACCGAACGTAGCTAGAATTAAGAACCCCAAAAACTATTAGAACTTCAAGAACCGTGAATTATTTAGACTCTTAGTGAATAACCAATCTTAGAACTGTTCTAGCTTATTGGTGTTTACATGTGTGTTTATCGTTGTTGTCAGTAAATTGTGTGCAATCGAGTACATTCACGAAGTAAGAAGACTAATTTAAACAACAATCGACTCCTTAAAACCTACACCACTTACCGTTTGTCTCGGGACTCTTCGCGACTAGCATCTCTCATCGCTTCTCAACATACACTGATCCACTCAAACCTCAACAAGCTCCTTCGAACACCTAGTCCTGACCGCACAGGATGCAAACACACGGCTACTAACGAAAAATACCCCAGAAATCCCCCACCTTGTCGATCCAAAGAACCTGAAATATCCCGAGAGTCCCAAGAATCTGACCGCTGGTAGTTCTAGCGGCTTCTGCCGATTAAATCAGAGCTAAAATCGGCTAATAACCAATCTCCAGCCCAGCATGAACCGTGTTTTAACTAGTGTGAACCCCGGGTTTGTTCCCGTCGATGTATCCCCGAGGAACTCGTGAACCTGCATGCCGACAGCAAGCTTCTGCATCGTAGACTCGAGAGAGCCCACGGCGGGATCGATCGATCGTTTAATTGAAGGGATTTCTGCTCTATTCACAGGATCTAACGTACGCGGAGGGAGGCCACAACTGGCGGAGCATAATCTTCTCGCTGCTGGTCATCGGCTTCGTTATCGCCGGGATCGTCACGGCCATTTACCTCCTCGGGTGAGTGGTTTGTGTGTGTTCCCTCCCCCCAACCGCTTTTCCACGACCCTTTTCCTCCGCGGTGTTATCGACCAACGATCTTTCAACGACTTCCACCCCGCGAGATAGTTTTTCTGGCCGCCCATTCCGGAAACGGGGAGGAAAGGATGCAGTTAAGGAGTCCTCAGGGAAGGGGGGCGTCCCATCCCCGGTGTAGACCGCTTTCACGAAATTAATCCGCCCCCTTATCGACGGAAATCTCCTTGATCCCTTTATCGTCGGCTCGTGACCCGTCTCTTGGAACCATAACGCGAAACGGATCGGGGATTCATCGATCCGTGGAAATCTCGAGACCCTGTCGCGAGTGAAGAATGGGGATATCTGTCCGTTGATCTGCTGGGGAATTGCACCGGGGGGTTTTGGGGGTCCATCGAAATTGGAACACTGTGTCCTTTGCTCGCGTTGAGTTGGGAGAATGTGACTTCTTGCTGCTCGTACGAAGAAGCAAACGAGGAAAGAAGAGGGGACACTGGCCACTTGCGAGAGAGACGAGAGCGTGGCCCTCTGCTGGCGAACGCCGGTGTCGCCACAAGTACGACACCTCTTTAATTCACTCTTTCTTCGAGATATTCGAAGCGCTGTTCGTTCGTTATTTATTTCGTGTGGACAAAATAATTGATCGTTAACTTCGATATGATATAGAGTATCTATCGTGCATAAATACGCTGTGCGCCATTTTGGGGTAGCTAGTAAATTCGATGCCCGTGTGAACCTCTATATCGTAAACTGACACCTACGTATAGACGCTGTTATTAATTAATGTAATGCGTTGAAAATTAATGCCCGTTCACACGGAATAACAGGTTGCATGGTCTATTACAAAGTGTACTAAACAATGCATGCACAAGGTAGAGCTAAAGTGGAACAGTTAATCGCAAAGAGCATTGCATACAAGCTGATGGAATTCCTCGTAATAAAATAAGAAAATTCCTTTCTTTTATTAACCTTTTGACTGCGGCGCGGCCTAGGAAGAAGCCATCGACATAGATGGCGCTGCGACTGGTGACCAAAAAAGTACCGTGACCGAATTATATTTCAATCTTGTTACCAGCAGCTCCCAAAGCTTTCAAGTGTTTTATTTGAAATTTACCTGTTAAAATATCTATTTTATTTACACTGTTGTTGCATTTTGTAACTTTCAAGTGCACGATATCTCTTTGGTTTGGGCTTGAAAAAATGTCGAATGGGACTTGACGAAGGAGCTCATGAGACAAAAATTGACGTTGAATCACACTCGACATAGGAGTGCAAAGGGTTAAGAGACCATTCTTACGGTTTAAAAAAATAATAAATGCTAATAAATTAAAGTATCCAATTCCATGTCGAATCAATTGGTAAAACAATAAAAGGTGTTGTAGTAAAAAAATGCAGTGGGCGTAAATTTACACTTATCGTATACTATATTGATGGATACATGAGGGCGTATATTTAGGTCTTTCGTATATATTGATAGACTCGTGAAAGCGTATATTGCCTTTAGCAATCAAAGGGTTAATTTCGATAAAAAAATATTTTTTTCTACCATTGCAAGGGGAAATATTTAGGTAGCCAAACGCAAACTTCTTCCAACTCGACTCGAAATTTTTGAGTAACTCGAACATTTATTACCAGCTTGTTCTTTCGAGGAACATCGAATATATACGCCTTTAGCAGTCAAACGGTTAATTTCGATAAAAAAATATTTTTTTCTACCATTGCAAGGGGAAATATTTAGGTAGCTAATCTCAAACTTTTTCCAACTCGACACGAAATTTTTGAGTAACTCGAACATTTATTACCAGCTTGTTCTTTTAAGGAATATATTTTGCAGTGGATCGACGTTTGAACAAACATGAATTTTCAGGTACGTCGACGAGCTGCTGTATTGGAGCGGCAGGCGCCTCACGTTAGACGAGTGCCTTCGTGATGACCTGACGCCACATAGGCTACCACCAACCTGGATTTCCCACGACAAGTTTATCTATCAAGCCGACGACGGTTCTCTCACTCTCCTGGACACCAGCAACAATTCCGTGTCCCTTCTGGTCTCTAATCACACGCTCGTACGTATCAAACCATACCAACTTCCGTGCAGAGTAAAGGATTGTTTGCAAGATCATCAAAACGTGTTCAGAGTTGATTCACAACTTTTCACTTTGTTATCGTTCCAAATGAGAAATTACTTAAAATTCGACGCTCCAAACGTCGACCAACCGGAATTAAAACGGTTTTCGAGATCGTCCTGGGAGGGAAGATCGTTTTGAGCCAAGGAAACAACGTTTAAAATTGTTTCGAAACTGCGACCGATTCGCAATTCGAGCAAGCGTGTATCAAGCGTTCTTTTTTTTTTGGAAGTCGCGCGGGGAAACGACGAAAATTGCTTTGACGATCGGATAAAAGCTGCAACGAGCAGTCGTCGGAATTGCGCGCGTAGAGGCGTGAAAATAAATTCGAAAATCTGAAAAAATAGAAGAAAGTTTTGTAAAAAAAAGCTCGTCGACCTCGAAACGTCGCCCGTGGTCCAGAAATTGTCGCGATACGTTGCCTTTAAACGCGTGTCTCCCCGTCAAGTCGGTGCACAATGGCCCCCTAATTTTCAACGTTTTCGAGAGCAAAGCTCGAGACGATTATTCCGCGTCGATCTGCATAGCGGCTCTAGATGCTTGCATTTTAATCTCTCTATGCATCTTTATGAACCGTCCGGTATTTGCGCGGCAGAACGACGGGGCGATAAAAATTCAAACAAGCAATGCCACGGACAAACGTAAAGTGCTAGAACGGAATATTAATACAGGAAGATGTATTTGCGTCTCTGACAAAGTGCTCGAAAAATTACAACGATTACAAGATTCATTCTCTTCGTGGCGAAAAATCGTTAGCTCGTCGAACGTCTAGAAAATATTTTCAAAACGGTTGAGAAAAATTCCCCAAAAATATGGATCGTTGAGTTTGTTGTTCTTCTTTCCCGAAAACAAATGTTGGCGGTTTCACGATCTGAATAATTGTCTCTCAGTGACGCGGCCACACAGATTATATCGATTTGTTAGCATCATTAACGAGCCGTCCAATAGACTAATTGCAATATGCATCATAATGCTCGACGTAACGCGACCAGCCGCGAACTAATTGGCCGAGAAATACGTTTCGAAATTGCGTAACGATCTGCGATCTGCTCGTAAGTTGACGTGATCGATTCATCGAAACGCGTCTCACTGCATCGAGAAATCCTTAGATTTCAAATTTCTATACAAAATTTTTAAATTAGACTTCGATGGTTATAACGCACCCAAAGGGTGCTCGGAGAGGGAAGATCTCGAGCAGAAAGCGCACGTTGCACTTGCCCCGGTTGCACCAGACAAGAAAATTACAGTCATCGAGTGGGGAATAACGGGGCGGACTAAAAATATTCGAGGACCATTCGTGACGTGCATCGACGTCGCGAGCAAAACAAAGTCGAAATTCGTAGACATCGTAAACCCCCGGGTTCCGGGTTTTAACGAATTCTAAATACAGCGCTGTACGACGAAATTAATTAAACGCGCGGGAACGGGTCACGCCGGGATCCAACGGCTCGAGATTAATCGTAATTAAACGAGAGACGGTACTAAAATTTAGCGGCTGAACGAAACGATTGCGCTGGTCAAATAACCCCAAGGCTCGACCTTAACACTTTCGGTGGAAAGGGCGTGTACGTTGAGGCGCGGAAAAGGACGAAGGTTTGTTCGGATAACAGACAACGAACGAGACCATCGTGTAACGATTCAGTCAATTTTCGTTGTCGTTGTTTAATTTCGTAATTGAAATTTTTGTAAGTATTAGTGAATTTACGTTGGAATCGCTGATATTGTTTTAGAATATTGTGCAAGGACCTGGGGTAAGTTACGGTGTATCAAACAGTATTAAACAGTATCAAACACATGTGTATTGTGCCAGATATGGAGAAGTAGCAATTCAGAATCTGTTTAAAGTCGCTGATATGATTGAAGAATATTGTGCAAAAGCCTGATAAGCAATAGTATAACGTCAAACAGTATCAAACTTATAGGTATTGTTCAATTCATCCGTGCTGGATATGCAAAGACAGTTATTTAGAATCTGTTTAAATCGCTAATATGATTGTAGAACATCGTATAAGAGTTTAGTAAGTTATGGAGTAGTATCAAACAGTATCAAACAGTATCAAACTTATAGGTATTATGCCAGGTATGCGAAGACAGGAAGGTAGTATCTGTTTTAGCTTCACTGTTCAAGCATAAAGACATTATGGAAATCGTTTTAGAGCTTTTCACTCATTAGAATGTAAAAATTAATAGCAGTGAATCCAATAAGAGGAATTTTCTAATCAACTGGTTGACTCTTCAAATAGTGTACAGCAACAATTTGTACGAGGAAAACAGATACGAATAAAGTCTTCCCGGAGCATCGTCTCTGTTAGTTTTCGCCTTGTCAACACATTACGTGCAACTTGCCAGATCGCGCGTAAACAAAGATCTCCGCAAGCCAAAACTGATATCAAACGTTTATACAAACACGTGGGGCGTGCAAATATATGAGCACCGAACAATTCGAGCGTAGCAAACGTTTCTATCGATCTTGGAGCGTTCGTTGGGAAGGAACAGGTATCGAAAGGTGACGTCACGCGAGGCTCACCTTTCGACGCTTCCTATTAAAAACTTTGCCGTCGAATTGCTTTTGTATCGTCGATACCTAATCGTATTAGTCGGTGGTCTCCGCGCGAAAAATCGATCGGCATTATCTCTGAAAGATTGGCTCGTGACGACGGCTAGCCCTAATTCGAACGTACGCGGTTGACCTTGAACGGCTAAATGATTTCGCGGCGACTCGGCAAACCGGTCGACTCGCTCGAACGACGCGAATTATCGAGGGACGAATCTCTCCCCCACCCCTTCTACCCCCCTTGGGGACGGTTCTGGTTCTCGCGATGCAAATGAAAAATCCTGCTGCTAGAAAATATATATGAGAACAATAAACAGCCTTAACATCGGTATCAAACTACCGTCCCCCGGAGCCTTATCTATCAAGGAGGCGAGTTTAGCCCGCGGCGCAGCCATAAAACAAAGAGAGCCGCCCGTATATAAGGCAAAGTTCGAGGTATTCCCCGGGTTTATTCAAGGGAAAGGGGGTCATTCCTCTGCCTCCGCTCCGGTGGTATTGCATTTTCTGCTCGATGGAACGATCCGTGCCCCGGAGCAGCCCAAAAACGATAGACCGATGGAAACAGCGGAATCGCCGCTGATGGTTTCAACCGGGGGAATTGCACACTGGCCCGATAGACGCCGAATACCTTTAAAGTCGACTGGTGTCCTCGTCGAGGACGCCACGCGGTCAGATGCGAACTAACGACCCAACTTATTAACCAGAATCGTTAATAATATCAAACGCCTTCAAATTTTTGGCTAGAAGACGGCAAAGTTGACGAGGGATCATATCTGCTATTTCGTAATAGAAATCAACATCTTTCAAACCCCTTCAAACGCCTTCAAACTTTTGGTTACAAGATGGCAAAGTTGACGAGGGATTATATCTGCTATTTCATAATAGAAATTAACATCTTTCAAACGCCTTCAAACTTTTGGCTACAAGATGGCAAAGTTGACGAGGGGTCCTATCTGCTATTTCATAATAGAAATTAACATCTTTCAAACCCCTTCAAACGCCTTCAAACTCTTGACTTCAAGATGGCAAAGTTGACGAGGGATCATATCTGCTATTTCATAATAGAAATTAACATCTTTCAAACGCCTTCAAACTTTTGGCTACTAGACGGCAAAGTTGACGAGAGATCATATCTGCTATTTTATAATAGAAATTAACATGTTTCAAACGCCTTCAAACTTTTGGCTACAAGGTGGCAAAGTTGACGAGGGATCCTATCTGCTATTTCATAATAGAAATTAACATCTTTCAAACCCCTTCAAACGCCTTCAAACTCTTGACTTCAAGATGGCAAAGTTGACGAGGGATCATATCTGCTATTTCATAATAGAAATTAACATCTTTCAAACGCCTTCAAACTTTTGGCTTCAAGATGGCAAAGTTGACGAGGGATCATATCTGCTATTTCATAATAGAAATTAACATCTTTCAAACGCCTTCAAACTTTTGGCTTCAAGATGGCAAAGTTGACGAGGGATCATATCTGCTATTTCATGATAGAAATTAACATCTTTCAAACGCCTTCAAACGTCTTTAAACTTTTGACTACAAGCTGGCAAAATTGACGAGGAATCATTCTTGCTCTTTCGTAATATAGATTAATATCTTTCAAACGTTTTCAAACGCCTTCAAACTTTTGGTTACAAGGTGGCAAAGTTGACGAGGAACCATTCCTGCTCTTTCGAATTATAAATTAACATCTTTCAGCTACAACAAAGTTAATCGTTAAAACAAAATGTTTGATGCAAAAGCTCTAACGTGAGACTCTCAAAACTTCGTACAATGGGTACAATGGGTTTTTACCGGTTTGATGAAATAAAAAATAGACAGGGTTCCTTTCGTAATATAAATTAACATCTTTCAGCTACAACAAAGTTAATCATTAAATCTAAATATTTGATATCAGAGCTCTAAAGCTAGACTCTCGAGACTCCATACAATGAATTTTCACCGGTCTGATGAAATAAAAAATAGACATTGCGTTCCTTTCGCAATGTAAGCAGCGATAAATAACGGTAAAATATGAAATACAAGCAAATCTGCTCCGTAATAAATCTTCTTTACGTCCGGGCAGCAGCGTTCCGGTTAACGAGTTTCGGTTAATTTTAGAATGGCACCGTTCGCGGATGTTTGATCAAACAACGTTAGCTCGAGACATTCAATTAAACGTATAAAATTAAACGAATGTAAACCCGCGATCCCGTCGCGAATCGCCGGCGAGGATCAACGTCTGTTTGGCGAAAGTGAACATTGTAACGGATGTTCGGAGCTGTATGTTGATAGCGTTCGAAAATACCGAATTTCCTTTTTCTCCTGGACCGGCAGACAGGGCACAGACGAACGAACACACTGCATTGATCCGATCTGACGACCACCAGGACACGCCGCGCCCGTCTCCCCAGTCCTTTTAGAAACAAATATCGACTGGCCCTCTCTGTTCCGTGCTGTATCCCCGGCTCGCGGTAATATCAAGCTCTGAAAGTGGCCGATCGAACGTTTCGCTGCTCTCTGCGACCGATGTAATTAAAATCCCCACGAAATTCGTTGTTTCTCTCAATTAGAACCGCAACGAAACGAGTAGACCTCGAGCGTACACTTGGGTTCGCTCAAAATCCAATAACTCTGCTTTTAAATTTGAATTTTCTTAAAAATGTATCATTGATAAAATTGAAATCAAATATTGCAGGCTACTCGAAAGTATTTTTTTCGTTTTTTATGGAAGCGTACGCTCGATTTTGCGATTAACCGTAGGTCGAGACGAAGCTCTCTGAGCCCCCATGCCATAATTCGAACACGTCCCGGTAATTTGTATACCTTGTCACACTTTGGAGACTGGTAACGCGTTGTATCTTGTATAATATCCATGGCAATCCATCACGATCGACGCAAGAGCGAGGTTTTTGTTTTAGGGAGCGCATCGGTGCGACGAGGAACAAGTTCTGAACACCTACGATACAAGTAGCAACGTTGACGAGCGCGATGCACTTAGAACAGACACTATTAGAGGTTTAGGTAGTAGATACCCTTCGTGAAAGCGTTACAACGCTTCTTAAGGCGTGATTCCACTGAGGCAACATGCAGCATGCGGCAATGACGCATGCAACGACACACAATTTTATTAAGGCAACATTTAGGCAACGCATGCAACATGAAATCGACGTTATATAGACACCTGACATGTGTATTTGCTACACATTCATTTGTTTCCTTTCCGAAATAAAGAAATGCGGGATTATTTGATATCGTTTTGTCGAATCGACAAGATTGAACATGTCGAGCAATGTCGTCAGTTAATGACAAGTACGACATGTGGCATGTTACAAGTGGCATAGTGTTGCCTCAGTGGAATCATACCTTCAGACATACATACGTCAAGCGTAGATCGGCCATTTTTAGAATGCCACCAAAAGAATTTCAAAAATGTTTTTATCGAGTGAACGAGCTCGAACGATCTTTTTCAGTATCGAAACTCTGTTTTCAGTATAGCGTTTGACAATATTATTAAAACGCAGCGTCGATTTGCTATCGAAATTACTAATAATCCAACGTTTCGGCCATAATTTGGTTGCTCATCAGGGAATCGTGCAATCGTATTGTTATTAATGTTACTAATTACCATAAAGGCATAAATTGTCCGTGAGGATCCAGCCGGAAATTGACAATTCGGATTGTGTTTTCATGAGGCGCGTATATTTGCAATGTTTCCTACATGAATACGGAGATGCGCGCGCGAACAAAGATGGAAGCTAATTTCAATCGGAGCCCGATGGGGCCAGCAATGGGCCGCCATAGAGATTCTGTCAAATTTAATGCATGCGTAATGAACTACCGAATACGCGCTGCTGATAATCATCATCTGTTCGTGCGTATAGTTTAATAATGTAATACATAATGGCCGTGATCGCCGGGGAACAATTAAAGGACGTGATCGATGTCGTTCGAGGGAGTCGTTTGTACTCGTTTGTATCATCGAGACAATATGGCGACGTTAAGCAAGTTGGAGATTCCTTTCTCTCAACGTAAAGTACCGTGAATTTTTTCACACAATCTTCTCTGGTAATTCATGAAGAATTAATAGAATTATCTGACACCGTATTGAAAATATATATTCGGTAAATTAGTTTATACGAGCCATAGCTTTCAAGGTTCGCGATTTTTGGCACTTGAAAAGACGAGAATTGGACGTTTTCGACGCGTCGGAGCACCGAATTTTCTCGGATATACATAAACGAGACAGTTAACGGCCATAAAATCCACGCACGCCGCAAAGTGGGAAAATAGAGAACACACGTAACCATAAATCTCTCTTGACTTTGTTTTCAGAGACAGCTGAACGTTCAAGGCTACCAGTGCAGCTCCGACCTGCGTTACGTGTTGTTCAAGCACAATGTCAAACCGGTGAGTAATTGAAACGCGAGAACGTTTTTGGCCACCGTTATGATTGGCTCCCATCGATCTCGAGTTCACAAATCTTACATTCCCCAAGGAAACTTTACCCCTTCCCATAATTGCATCGTTAACTTTGGAACGGCACAATTTGACCCAGTTTAAAAAATCACTGGGAATCAACGAGCTTTTGTATTGAATTGTTCGATTTTTCCAGGTGTTCAGGCACACCTTCACCGCTTACTATACAGTCTACGACGTCACCAACGAGTAAGTAACAACAATGGCTGTTCATTGCAAAATTAAAAAGGTCGAGGTGTTGAAAAAAATAAATCTGGGTTCGTTGATTTTACCGAGGTTACAAAATTTAAGTTACCTAGTTTGCAATTGAAATGAAACTTTCGATCCTGTAAATGGTCATTAGCAACCAAAGCGTGACCAAGGATTCTCTGGTAAAAAAGGATCTAGCTTCGACGTTTCTTTCAGTCAGAGCGGTCGGTTTGATGGCTCTGTGTCGTTTTCAGTCATCACACACCTCTTCGTCTGCACGCGTCGCGAAGGATGCAGCAAACGCGATTGCAACACGCCGTCTGGTTGGGCAACACGTCGGGCCTCTTGATGATATCCGAGAACGACATTTACGTTAGACTGGCGCCGTCCGCGCCAGAAGACGCGCGACTGACCGACACGGGCGTCGCTGGCGTGATCTACAACGGCGTTCCGGATTGGTTGTACCAGGAGGAAGTAATGCCACGGCCAGAAGCCACCTGGCCTAGCCCCGATGGCACTCACCTACTCTACGCCACGTTTAACGACACTAAGGTCACTGCCTTAGAGTTCCCCTGGTTTGGTACCCAGCCAGGCCTCGACGGAGCCAGTTCCAGTCCCCTAACCACGCCCAGGAGAGGCTCCTTTCCACCTTCCAAGTCTGTCAGATATCCTACTCCAGGATCGTCCAATCCGGAGGTCGACCTACTGGTCATGGAACTCACCAACGTGACCAATTCAGCCAACGTCAACGGCACCACAAACGGCACCAGAACCTTGAACTCCACTATGGTTTTTAGAACGAAGCTTAAACCACCGCCTGTACTCGACGGACAGTAAGTGCCTCAAACTGGAGTTTCACAAGTTGGATGAAACACTGGTGGCTTCGCTAGTTCTCGCGAAACCTCATTTTCAATGCACATGGGTCAATAAAATCTAATTTCCCAGACTCACCTAGACTTAACCCAGCCCTAAGTTTCAATACACATCGGTCAATACAATCTAATTTTCCAGACCTAACTAAGACTTAATTTTGAATACACATCCCAGACTTAATTTCGAGGTTTTTACGAGTCTTGCTACGCTAGATTCGACCTGACCTCTTCACCAAGAAGCCCCTTATAAGTCGAGCTTGTAAACTCCAATCTCAGCGACCTCAAAATGCCTGATACCAATGAGGATTCTTGCTACAATGACTTTCTTGCTACCCACAGAGAGTACTATTTAATATCCGCCGGTTGGGTGGGCGAAGACTCCTCCCAAATCGCCGTGGTGTGGATGACGAGATCGCAGAATCTGACGCTGGTGTCCGCCTGTCATGCACCCACGTGGGAGTGCGAGGAGACCCACTCGGAACGAGCACCGGAGGGACAGTGGCTCGACGCGCAGCCCCATCCAGTGTTCGCCCCCGACGGCGACAGCTTCTTGCTGTTGGCAGCCGTGCAAGAAGGCGACAAGGAACACTTCACTCACATCAAACACGTGACCCTGACTCAGCAGAGGATAGCGGTTCTGTCTCATGGTCGTTACGAGGTGAACAAACCAGGAGATTGCTGATTACTGGTAATCGATTCGGAACGGGTCCTGTAAAGCTGTCTTTCTCGTCGTCAGGTGAGCGAGATCTTAGCGTGGGATACCAAAGCACACCTAGTTTACTATCTGGGCACCAGGGAGAGGAGGCCTGGACAGAGACACCTTTACGTTGTTCGCGATCCTACTGCCGACGATCCTCGGCGCCTAGAGCCGCTATGTGTCACGTGTGACCTTGGAGAGGTTCTTTGGAGCAGCAGGTGAGCCACTTGATGGCTAAGGTACCTACGTTGCAATTATTCCCATCAGGAAACCCACAGCAGTCACCTTACATAGGAATAGGATCTCCATTTTCGTTCTACTCGTGGCTACGCCAATGATATTCACAATGGTTCCATCCTGCCCTTCATCTCTCTACAGCAGATTCTATCTACCAGCATCGATATTTCTCCACATACTGTGTTTTTTACAGGTTTTATTACACCAACTGTACGCACTTCGGAGCGTCGGTTAGTCCAGCGATCGACAGCGCGTCCCAGGGTTACTACGTCCTCTATTGCGAAGGTCCAGGCCTTCCCCTGGCAGGCATACACTCGACGACGTCCCACAAGATGATGCGCGTGCTCTACGATACGAGAATCCAACGGGGGGACAAGCTGTCTCAACTGGCGCTGCCGACTCGAAGAAGCTTCGAGGTATCCATCATTCGAGGACTGTTTTCCAAGTCGATTCTAAGCTTGTGCTCGTTTAGGTGCCACTGCCTCAGGGCTGGAAGGCTCAGGTGCAACTGTTGCTGCCGCCCTCGTGGCGAGAGGAGCTCAGAGACGCGGCGTTTCCGGTCCTGGTCGAGGTGAACGGTCGTCCAGGCAGCGAGGCGGTCACCGATCGGTTCAAGATCGACTGGGGGACCTACATGTCGAGCCACAACGACGTGGTCTACGTCAGGCTGGACGTACGAGGTGCCAGGGGTCAGGGGAAGAGAGACCTGTTCAGGAAGATCGGTGGCGTCGAGGTGCAGGATCAGCTCACCGTGCTGAAGCATCTCCTGAAGACTTTGAAGTACCTTGACGTCACGAGGGTCGGAGTTTGGGGGTGGGGGTACGGTGGATACGTGACCGCCATGGTGTTGGGAAACCAGGAGAACCTGTTCAAGTGCGGCGTTGCTGTGAATCCCATCGCAGATTGGCTCTACTACAGTGAGTGAACCGACTGTCCTCTTTTCTTCCAAGTCGAGGACGAGTCTCTGAAACGACGTTCGACGTTTGCAGATTCCGCGTTCACGGAGCGAGTCCTTGGCGCTCCGGCCGAAAATTACAAGGGTTACGTGGAGGCTGACCTGACTCAACGAGCTAGACTCGTGCCGAGCCACAGCCTCTATCTTCTTCATGGTCTAGCTGACCTCACAGCGCCTTACACGCACGGCGTCGCCTTCGCCAAGGCACTGTCCGAAGCGGGAATCATCTTCAGGTATCAGGTAAGGAGCCACCAAGAGCTATCGTCATTTTCCAACTCGCGTCATCGTCTTCTCGAGTCTTTGATGGCTTCTCCGTTCACGCAAACATAATCGAACGTTTCGACAGAGTTACGCGGACGAAGACCACGCCTTAGCAGGCGTGTTGGAGCACGCTTATCGTTCCATGGAGGACTACCTCGCCGAGTGCCTCTCCCTGGACGCGTCCTAGTGCCTCAAGCCGAATACTCTCTCGTTGTCTCTAGCTCGCCTACTTCTGATACATCCCGGACGGGCGTGGATGCTCGTCGAAAAGGTTCACTGTTCAGGATTAGACTAGTTCGAGAAGATTTATCGAAAGCATCCGGTGATCGCCAGTACGCAGCGTCAAGAGGAGGAGGTTTGGGATTAGTTAGAAGAGTCACGGTAGGATACGGACGAACGAAACGCGACGCTGATCCTTCTTGGCGGCTAGGATGCTTAGATCCGTAATGTAGGATGTGGAGGAGAAGTTAGAAGGAAAGTGGTGATGCGAGGGACGAGGTAAAAACTTAGCGTTTGTATAAGTAATATCGTTAATAACGTTGTATATCAGCCGCCTGCATCAGCCTGCGGATTCCTCTTTGCTACGAAAAAAACTCGTTCACTTTGCTCTCTGGGCGCGCAAACCCCGGACAAATTCTAGCGATCCACCCCTAAACATCCAGAGGCGTATCTAGTTAGGAAATACGAGCGCGGTTTGGCGGGTCAGCCTGCGTTCAGCAAGCTCGATCGGTACGGAAGGAAACTAGAGAAGAAATAAAAAGAAGAAATTTCGATTCGCGTTATCCTGCTTCTCGCGAGCTTGCAAATTCGCCACATTTTGTATACCAAACCTCCATTATCTGACGGTGACACGACACTCCACGGAATATAAAGATGATTGAGCGCATCGAGCTTAGCGCGAGCTTGCAAGCTCGCGACTCAGATTTTTTATAACAAGCCTACGGGATTCGGTGCTCCGGGAACTGAAGATTGAAAGTATCGAGCTTACCGAAAGCTTGCAAGCTCTCCTCGCTATTTCTACGATCACTTCGCGTCCGACTCATTCCCCGATGGCGGCGTCGACGGAAGAATCGGCTGGTGGACTAAATTTTAGGAACGACTGCCTTGCAGACCTTACCCCTACCGTCCCGGATGCTCGAAGCCGAGCATTCCGAAACATTTAACGATTTCAGGGTCGTCGATTGTCTTATCTAATATAAATAGTACTATATCATTATTATTCTGTCGTCATCGTTACATTTATAAATCTGCACGATAATACGTAGTCGAAACGAAGACTAGCAAATAATATACGATAATTTATTTCGATTCACGTTAACGAATTCAGTACCTAAAGTTCGTTTCGCGTCCGCCATTGTATCGGTCGTCGCTGTCGGTAAAACAGCACCTAGTGGCGCCAGGACGTCTCGAGTCGATTCTTTCGTGGGGGAAAACAGCTGGCTACGCCTATGCGATGACTCGTTCAGGGGTATCGACACACCACTCACCGTTAGAAACGAACGCTTAGTCCTAAGTTTTGTGTTGTACAGCTTTGGAGCCTAGTCTATGTACCATAACGTTACACGCGCGAACAGAAAGGTGAAACCAATTCTCCCCACCCGACCCATCCAACTCCCCCACCGCCCTACTACCCCAACGTTTGAACCTTGAATATTTGTATATATCTATACACGTCTTACGGAAGATGTACCTCGGTGTAGGCCGCGTTCCCCCGACGAGGTTCGCGCGTGTTCCCCGTTTGTCGTTGATCGTTTGTTGTACTATATCGCTAAGGTGTACTATAAAAAAAATCAGTTTCCAGAATAATTAATTAAGTAAGTAAGCGTCGCGAGGCTTTAGGGTAACGTTCCGATTCACCGTATACTTTAGCTCGTTTCAGAACGCACCTCGTCGCGGGCAACGAACCTTATCGTATACCTTTTCTCGATCAACACCGACCGCTTTCACGGTCCTGACGAATCACACGACACCCGGTGCCGCGAGATTAGGCCGATCAATGTTCGTTCGGATGCAGTTGATGTTGGATGTTATCGTTCGAGATCGATCGGACTCACGAGACCCATTTCGACGAGGCTGGTCGACCCTTTTCTCTTAGCTAAACATCCTATTAAAACGATTTAGTATCGAAGAAGAGAACATTCGCTGAGTTCACAGATTCCCAGCTAGAGTTTAAACGATCCTTTTGTAACGCGGCTAGAAACGGTTCGATCCCCAAAGTCACCAACCTCTCGAAAGCGTCGACCAGCCCGGTTATTTTTTAGATCTAGCATGCTTCTTGGTTCACGACGAAATGAACGAAACGAAAAAAATAGAGTTCACGGTTGATCGTAGAAGGGTCGCGCTCGAACGAGGAGAGTCGCACGTCGCCATAAACGCTGCCTGCCCAGCAGCCCTTAAATGCCGACAATCAAGGCTAGTGCAACTAATCAAACGATAATAAATAGAACGGAGAGGATGAAGAAATTACCTAATAATATTAATGTATCTTAGATGAATGATGGACGCGGTTCGTCCATGGCAGACTGCATCCCTGGGGCCTCGACGAGGACGGACGGGATAATTAAATTACGAGATCTCGAGGGAGAGAGAATTGTAACGCAGAGGGGGCGGGATCCTCGTCGGGGAGATTGTTCATGGACGAAAGTATAGACGTGACGGATCGGTAGATCAGGATTACGTGCTTGATGTCGATTGTAGAGAGTACAAAGATTCGACGCGTGGCCAAGGAATTACGTCCCATTCTATCAGAGTGTCTTTAATTTAAATTTATACTTAGTTCGAATCGAGGTATTTCTATTTTTCTAAAAACTCAAAATTAAAGGATTTCAATACCATGCAATAATATGTATTTGTAACGATAACGGAAAAGAATATTATATAAACAAACTGTGTTTTAATACGAGGGTTGAGCCATCGATTTGATTTGATCACTCGATTCGAAAAATCAATAATCTCTCGAACGATCGATGTAAATACCGTTTGAAGAATAATTTGAATTTTTTATCGTGACTTTGAGCTTCGATCAGAGGAAAGGGGCAAGTGTAATTCGTTGGCCAGGCGTTAAGGAACCGACACGTCGTTGTTTCCTCGTAAAAGTTCACTTCGCGGTATCGGTCGTTCGAATTTCCCGCGCGAATTCGAGAGAACTCGGGGGGCTTCACCGAGCAATAGTCGTGTGGCCGTGCGAAGCTAACGAAAGAGACAAAGAATGCAAGAGTGAAATGGCGCGTGAGCGATCGAGAGAGAGAGAGAGAGAGAGAGAGAGAGATACATCACGAACGAATGAGTGCGAGTGTGAGTGTGCAATCGCAATCAATTATTAACTATAATAACGGCAGAAAGTGCGGCGAAATAAACGTAGATATATAGGGTATGGGTCTGAAGAACGGCAGGCACGCAAAAGACAGGAACAACAGAGAAAAAAAAAACAGAAACCACCAACAACAACTAGAGAAAACGAAGCATGCGAATTACGTGAAATTAATCGCAGATGAAACCTTGGTAGCAGCGCATAAGGGTATCTATAAGCTTTTGGTAACGTATTATCGCCGCTAGGCTAAAAGAGAATTAATAAGAGAAAAAAAAACCCACAGAAAAAAATTATATATATATATACACATATATATATATATATATATACATAAATTATACATAAAACGAAGGAAAGCGGTACACACGGAGAAAGGGGAGGAGACGGGACACGACACGCTGGACACATCCGGACTTAAAACGGTTAATTGATGGAAATTAATTCACGCGGAACTCGAGAAGCATCGGGCCCGTGCGAACGGAGAACTCGGACAAATTCGCGTCGTACGTTATTTATTTATTTATGTGATTTTTGGTTCTCTTTCTTTTCGTACGTAAAACGTCGTGCAATCTCGACGATTTCGAAACGCGGGGGCGAAGAAAATGTTGCACGTTAAACGGGGGAGGAAAAAAATGGAATAATAATAATAACGATAACGCGTCTATTTGAAATTATTTGGATAATCTGTGATACTCAGATTGACGATTATTATCGGTTGTTTGTCGGATTTATCCCGGGAAGATTTGGTGTCCGCGACACCGCCGGTGACTCGCGCGTTTTTAACCGGATGCATACCGAATATCGAGGTATTAATAGATAAGATATCGATAAAGAAATTGTTCGGGTAACGCATGCTCGAAACCGAGTCCAACGGCATCGAGAACACAACGCGACTGTCGCCTGGAACCCCGTATTTTAGATTTTTAGTCACCTTTCGGGCGAAACGTTCCAGTAACTAATTTCAACAATACTCGATTCGTAATATTCTCTAGATTTCTCAATATTTTCCAACAATTCTATTCGTTCAGCTTTCAATTAGAGTTCGACTGACCCCTCCGCAAGGGGGAAACTGAACAACAAAGTTTCATTCAAAAAACCATCTAAAGCTCTCTACATCGATTCATTCGAGCTTCCAACGTGGAAATAAAATTTGATCGCAAAAGTAAATTATTCAAAAGCTACTCTCCGAAGAAAATGAATGCGTAACGGGGTGTCAAAGTTAGAAAATTAATAATATTCACTAAACGGGGGGAATGACCTTTCGGTGTACAAATAATATTTTTAGTAATCGATCGACGATTGAAACGTCGAACGAGAGAGGGGTTGATCGGGTAAACCGGGGTGTCACGCGGCCATTTTGAACGCTTGGACTCGGTCTCGTAAGCGGCCTGCTCGTCTCGACGTATCAGAATCCTCGAGGCGATCGCATCGTCCCCGAGCCGGCTCGAAACGACGTCTGAACGATCAGAGATTCGGTAATCAGAGTAACGGGGGGGACACTGGATCGTTTTTAACGGAAGCGTCGGGTCGGATATTGCCCTTAGCGAGCCGTCGATTCGACCGTGGCCCCCCGCGAGTGTGGCCGACGCGCTCGGACAATTGTTTTTTATATAATATTCGCTCGGATCATCCAGCGAGCGCACACGATCGCCGCGGATTATCGTTCGGGAGAGACGTTCTCGATAGTTTCTCGTGGGGAAAGCTGGAGCACGCGCGATCGTTTCCACTCGGTTTTTTACGATATTCGCACGGACCTGGAGAATCATCCACGAAATCGGCTCGGAGACACCAAAAATCCATCGAACACTGTGATCAAACACCGAACACGGTCAACACACATTTCGCATTATCACTACGAAAAAAAAATCGACCTTAAAACGCTACGATCGCAAATAGAAATTTCATTGTCTTCAACGTCTTCGAGTTTGCAGCGAATTCCAAGAGAGTTTCAGAGAAAGTAAAAAATACAGTTTTTCAGTTTTCTTACTTCTTACTTTTTTTCCACTGAGAACTAGTTAAGGAAAATATCATTTTACCTGAAATCTGAAAGACTGCAATTTTTTTCTCTGCTTTTCCCTCGAAAGATTTGTCTCTGCAAAATGGAGCACGTTGCGATCGACGATAAGATTTCTGCTTGCAATCGGTGCTGTTGAAGGGTCTCTGGGGTTAGGAATTATTAAAAATTGATATTTAATTTCTCGATTATTGTAAACTAAATCCTATCGTTTGATTCTATCTTAAGCGACTGCCCGAATCGTTTCGGAGGCGCCGATTTCGCGGATGTCGTTCAAGTTGTATTCCACGTAACACCCACGAGATAATCATGTTACTAAGACTCTGCGTTTTTTAATATCAGCGAGGCTCGGCCCGGACAACGGGCGGACAAAAGTGTTTTCAATAAACTGTTACATTACCTGAACCGTCGTTGTTTATTTCTACCGCCTGAAAATGCACCCATTTCGACGAACGATCGCGCCAAACTCGTTTTAATAACGCCATCGCGAGTCGTACATTGAAAACGGATAAATTCACAAGAAGCATTTCGACGTATTTCGACCTTACTTTCTCTGATCTACGACTTTTCTTTCGAACGTTATGCCTGTGCCGCCAAAACACAAGAGGAAACGTTGGCCAGGATCGTCAAATTTCCGGCAGACCAACAAGCAGAAATCTGCTCCGTCGTTGACGGAGAATCGGCAAAAATTAGGGTACTTTTACGCTTCGATCGTCCCCTAACCACAAATATTATCAGTAGACGAGTAGTAGATGTTTATGCATTTATGGGAAATTTGAATCCTAAAAAAACTACAGAATGCATTTAATATGCAAAAATATAAGAAATACTTAAAGTAAGATACGAATTATTATATTTAGGCATTGAGACAGCCCTCTGCGAAGCTTCCGTTTCATTAATTCTATTAATAAAAATGTGAATTTGCATAAAGATCCGCAGTCTAATTATCAAATTAAAATTTGTTTGAAAAATCATTAGAAATTGACCATCTTAAATATTATTTGGATGGCATACTAAAAAAGAAATGAAACTTTTAATTATTTAGTTATATAAATACAACTGAGAAGTTTTATGACATAAAAGATTCGCGAAAAAGTCGAAAATAGTTTTTCATGAGAATCTTTTCGCGAAAAATATTTAATCAGCTCTGTTAAATTAAGGTTATGCGACCATTTTTACGCCACGAGATCGAGAAGCCTTCGAAGCATTGATTCTCAGACCATCAAGAGCGAAGCCGCGTTTCTTTCTAGAAGATCCTCCAACAGCAGCATCATTTATTTAGGATCGTACCGCAAAATCCCTGAATTAATTAATCTGGAAGACAGCTCCGACGATTGCGAAGTAAAATGGGTCGAACAGTCGGACGTAAAGATTTGTAAATTGGAAAGGGGAATTCCCTAAAACACCATGTATGCAATCAATTATTACACTTACTTTATTAACAGCGAAACAATAATTAAATCCCTTTACAGATGGAGGCCACGAAATAAAAAACCATATAAAATCATTTTTCATCCAATAGTTTACGATAGAACGTGAGTTAAGATCGTTGATATTTTAACGAACAAATCTAAGGTATAAAACGACCAGTTAAAAGCTTAAAATGTACAAGCTTTGTTCTTCGACCCCCAAAATTAACGATAGCTCGAAGCTTGGATGCTTTATGCTTGAATTTTTTCCTCGTTTTATGGTCCAGATTTATCTTCCTATTTTCGTACAAAGAAGAACTTATATGTAATCGTCTCCTTTGATTTTGCAATGCAAATAGGTGGCGATCAGAAATTTTCTCGAGAACGAAGACACGCTCTCTATCTCCGCTTTTCCGGTTCGCATTATTTCGAGTTCCTTGAGGAAAGCGGGGGTCATGTACGGTCGGCTCTCGATGGACGACAATTTTGACAAATCGTATCCAGTTAGGGGAACTGTGCTCGCTCCTAACGCGACCAACTCCGACGGATGAATCCCGAGCCAGCGTACTTTTGGACACGCCAAGCTCTCCCTCTCTTTGGACAAAGCGGCAGAACCGAAACTGTGCTCGAAAGAAATTTATAAACGTATATATTTCACTTTCTTTCCCGTCTTCAGGAATAAATTTTTTAAACGAATTGTATCGTTTGGAACTTCGACATTTAATAAACTACTCAACCATTTCAAACCTACATTTTCTTAAACCTCTTCTATTAATTATTAATATTAGATTGTTCTGTATGAAACTGTCAATTTCATAAAATCTTTTCTTCAGGAATAAATTTTTTAAACGAATTGTATCCTTTGGAACTTCGACATTTAATAAACTACTCAACCATTTCAAACCTATGTTTTCTTAGACCTCTTCTATTAATTATTAATATCAGGTTGTTCTGTATGAAACTGTCAATTTCATAAAATCTTTTCTTCAGGAATAAATTTTTTAAACGAATTGTATCGTTTGGAACTTTGACATTTAATAAACTACTCAACCACTTCAAACCTGTTTTCTTAGACCTCTTCTATTAATTATTAATATTAGATTGTTCTGTATGAAACTGTCAATTTCATAAAATCTTTTCTTCAGGAATAAATTTTTTAAACGAATTGTATCGTTTGGAACTTTGACATTTAATAAACTACTCAACCACTTCAAACCTACATTTTCTTGGACCTCTTCTATTAATTATTAATATTAGATTGTTCTGTATGAAACTGTCAATTTCATAAAATCTTTTCTTCAGGAATAAATTTTTTAAACGAATTGTATCGTTTGGAACTTCGACATTTAATAAACTACTCAACCATTTCAAACCTACATTTTCTTAAACCTCTTCTATTAATTATTAATATTAGATTGTTCTGTATGAAACTGTCAATTTCATAAAATCTTTTCTTCAGGAATAAATTTTTTAAACGAATTGTATCCTTTGGAACTTCGACATTTAATAAACTACTCAACCACTTCAAACCTGTTTTCTTAGACCTCTTCTATTAATTATTAATATTAGATTGTTCTGTATGAAACTGTCAATTTCATAAAATCTTTTCTTCAGGAATAAATTTTTTAAACGAATTGTATCGTTTGGAACTTCGACATTTAATAAACTACTCAACCATTTCAAACCTATGTTTTCTTAGACCTATTCTATTAATTATTAATATCAGATTGTTCTGTATGAAACTGTCAATTTCATAAAATCTTTTCTTCAGGAATAAATTTTTTAAACGAATTGTATCGTTTGGAACTTTGACATTTAATAAACTACTCAACCACTTCAAACCTGTTTTCTTAGACCTCTTCTATTAATTATTAATATTAGATTGTTCTGTATGAAACTGTCAATTTCATAAAATCTTTTCTTCAGGAATAAATTTTTTAAACGAATTGTATCGTTTGGAACTTTGACATTTAATAAACTACTCAACCATTTCAAACCTACATTTTCTTAAACCTCTTCTATTAATTATTAATATTAGATTGTTCTGTATGAAACTGTCAATTTCATAAAATCTTTTCTTCAGGAATAAATTTTTTAAACGAATTGTATCGTTTGGAACTTTGACATTTAATAAACTACTCAACCACTTCAAACCTGTTTTCTTAGACCTCTTCTATTAATTATTAATATTAGATTGTTCTGTATGAAACTGTCAATTTCATAAAATCTTTTCGTGTACCAGTAAAAGATAATAATCGAAGGGGAAACGAGTATTTTAAAATTCAATTTACCGGTAGACACACATAATGTCCACGCCAAAAGGGTCCGCGTCCACGATCGCGTAAACCGGAAGTTCCATTTTCTCCGACAGCAGTTTCACCAGCATCCTCGTGGCCACGTCCGGGTACCCTTTCCCGGTGACCAGAATGCACTTTAAAAAAGATGGACAATCGTCTTCCAACAATTTTTGAAAAACAGCGTCTTTCTCGACGACCAGCACCATTTTCGCTCTCGTTCGAACGGAAACTACATTCGACGCCATTAGGGGAATGAGAGCTCCGCCTGGGACTTTGCAATCGACTACTCTATTGTCGGTTAGCATGAGTTGCAGTTCACCCGCTGCTAATCCTTTCAACGTAGGCACAAGATCTGGATAATTATAATATCCGCGGAATTAAAACTGTGTTGAACGAGTGATTTTTCTGTAACGAGTCCTAATAAATGCATAAATTAATATATAAATAAATGAACAGAATTACGATACCAGTACTCCTGACTTGTTCTAAAAATTGCATAACTCTAAACCTATATTGAGCTGCTTTGCAATTTTATACAGTTAAAAAAATTATTTTGGATTTTAAGTTTAAAACCTGCTAACTTTCACAGCCTCAGTTTGGAATGTTATTTGCAGTAACGAAATTAGTTTGGTCCAAGAATAAAGAAATATGCCAACTGCGTATAATCAGAGGTAATCACGAAATAAAATACGATGGCAAATAATGAATTATAAGGATTGTTTGTTCGAGAAAGACTCACTGAGCTCCCATGGCGCGCAATTCAGCAAATTGGCGACGTGATTCACCGCTTGATCCACGCATCTCTGTTCCGGCGCCAAGTTCAAAGTATTCTCGTTCTTGAGATCGTAATAAAGGGATCGTCTGGTGACGGTGGTGTTCGTAATTAACAAACGATGTGCCGCGGCCATTACCGTCATCATCAAAGCGAACTTGTCCTTGCCTTTCCTCCTAGCAAAATTGCTGACCGTCTTCTTGCCACTCTGCACGCCATTTTGCGTGGGTTCTTCCTCGACTTGCGTGGCCTCTTCGAGAAGATACGAATCAACGTTCGAGGCACAGTCGGGAAAATAATTTTCTTCGACAATTTCGGTCTCCATCGACGTGTAATTGTGCACCAACGAATATGAAATTTGGGGTAATCGGTCGGAACATATTTGTTGGATTATGGTCGAAGTTACTTCTTCGATACGAGATATCAACTGTGCTCTAAAAGTGATAAAAAATTGCTTCGTTATGCTTCTGTTACTTCAATAAAAGTATCTCTTTCATTTAAAAATATTATCATAAGCAATGTATACTAGTAGACCTTACTTTACAGAGACATATGTATAATTTCGGTAAAGAATTTTTTTCTCGAAAGTGTGTAGGATTTCAGGGGTATATGTAGTTATCAAAAATGATTGCAATTGACCCCTGCAACTGAATATAATTTTTTCAGAACGATTTGAAATTTTTTAATTTCGACGAAAAATGACTGCACATACTCGAATTTTTTTCTCGAAACTGGATAAGATTTCGAGGGTATATCTATTCACCAAAAATGATTGTAATTGACCGCCACAACTAAATATAATTTTTGTAGACCGATTTGAAATTTTTTAATTTCGACGAAAAATGACTGTATACACTCGAATTTTTTTCTCGAAAATGGATAAGATTTCGAGGGTATATCTATTCACCAAAAATGATTGTAATTGACCCCCGCAATTAAATATAATTTTTGTAGACCGATTTGAATTTTTTTTTTTCACCAACAAATTTAGATACCTACCCCTTGTCGATTGTTTCTTAAAAATTCGTTTTTTATTTTTAATAAATTTGTTTGACGTCCTACGGAAATTTTGTTTAGTACTTTTTTATAGGTATCCATGAGCTCTACTTCCATACTAAATTTCATTTAGATACGTTTACTATTGTAGAAGTTATGGACGTTTGAAGATGGGACCATTTTTATGGGGTTTTTCTCATTTTACGGGGTTAAGAAACAACTTTTCGAATATTATTGGAATGATTACGTATTCTCCACCAAAATACGCGTTGTTTGCATTTTTGAACTTTAAAATCCGTCAATCCGTTCAAAAGTTATGACGTTTTAAAGTTACGCGTAAAATTTTGGAGTGACATTTCTGGTCTGAAATTATATATTCGGTAAGGAATTTTTTTCTCGAAAATGGTTAGGATTTCGAGGGTATGTCTATCGACCAAAAATGATTGCAATTGACTCCTGCAACCAAAAATAATTTTTTTAAAACGATTTGAAATTTTTTTTCACCGAAAAATTTCTATAGCACATGTATTTACGCACACATTACAGCTATCTCCCCATCCACACTAATTCAGCGAATAGTTCTTCAACTGACCGCCATGCATGAGAAGAGGACGCTAAAATCGCCTCCGAATTTTCAAGTCGATATGGCAGTCAAATTCGGCCACGAAAGTCCACATGTAAGGTCTACTCGTATGTTATAAAAGTATTTCTTCCATTCTATAATATTATTTTCCCGTTTACCTGAATTCTGTATTATCTACAACAGGTATATCGATCACTTTTTCTTCATCGCATCCTGTTTGACTGTCGGTAAGTGTGAAACTCGTGTCTCCATTGAACGTTGCCATTTTGTCTGAAACAAAGTATTTAATCCATGAAGAAAAAGTAATTTTCTGTGTAGACTGTTTTATTTACACGATAGATCTCGAGAATAGTAAATTAATTAATATGTTAATATACTCGACAGGTAAGGGTATCGAAATTCTTGAAATTTTTCCAAATTATTAACAATTATATATTTAATATTGTTTAATGGACAATCATGGACAAGGATCAAAGGCACGCGAAAGCCTTTATTACCATTTCTGGTGTGACATTATCGCACAGACACGAGGTATCGTCTGTGGTTATCGCTTCACGCTGGAATTCCAGTTTAGCACTCTAGGTGTTTGGAATTGAGACTAAACATCGACAGAATTTAATTACTTGTTAGAAATTAGATCTCAGGTGTATGAACAAAATCGATATCAAGTGCCGCGGGTAGCCTCCAGTTAAACGTCGATACCATTAGCCACGAAAAGAAGGAAAGTCGAGAGGTCGCGGAGGATTCCCGTGGTCGCTTTTCAGGCAGCAACTGCCAGATAAAAATCTATCACCTATCCGAACGTAACATTCTCACAGCAATAAACATATTAAGTTCTCCCGCGACGGTACAAGTATTGATCATCGTCGCGTAGGTCCTGACGACGGACGATCGACAACAATTCCCCTGTCCAGGGAACGACGTTCGTATCGAGTAGCGAATCTCGAGAGAGCTGGACACCCCGCTGCGCATTTGTGAACGGCGACCATTGAACGCAGCGCTACCGAGTGCACTAAAGACACTCGAGGACCTCATTGTGCCCCGCGAACACAGACTGTTGCAAAACGCGACGAAATCCGTTCCTGGGCCACCGAACCTGACCATGCTCCCGGTAACCAACATTTTAGGGGTTCAAAAACAATGCAAAAATGTAAATTTCAACCCCCTGGTACCAACAGAATGATAAATTCTACGCAAGAAGCTCGAATTTGTAACTCTTAAGGACTTGGAATTGTAGTCGCCATTTTGTGAATCCCCAAGGAGTCCTATTTTGTCTTCTGCTCCCCATGAATTTATTTTATATCACTGTTGCAAAAGAATCATCTATTAATTCCATAACTTTGCTATTTTTTTTGAAATTCGGAATATTTTTAAAACTTAAATCTGAAGGAAGTAGTAAAAGGAACAAAATTTAATTTCTATCTCTAAATTAAACCCCCCAATATTTTACACAAGTCTATACAATTTATACACTGTATAAAAAAAATTTCAGGGGTTCAAAAACAATGCAAAAATGTAAATTTCAACCCCTTAGTACTAACATAATGACAGATTCTACGCAGGAAGGTCGAATTTGTAACTCTTAAGGACTTGGAATTGTAGTCGCCATTTTGTGAATCCCCAAGGAGTCGTATTTTGTCTTCTGCTCCCCCTGAATTTATTTTATATCACTGTTGCAAAAGAATCATCTATTAATTCCATAACATTGTTATTTTTTTTGAAATTTGGAATATTTTTAAAACTTGAAACTGAAGGAAGTGGTAAAAGGAACAAAATTTAATTTCTATCTCTAAATTAAACCCCTAATAATTTACACAAGTCTATATATTTTGTACACTGTATAATTATAGTATATTCACAGTTTGTTAATTTTTGATGCATCGTAATATATTAATCCGTAATTAGAAGAAACGTTTTCAGTTCTGTTTTCGATCAGGCGGTTGCAGTCGACGTTTCGTTCGATGGAACTTTGGTCACGGACATTTCGCGTCCGCAGATGCGACATAAATTTCCTTTGATCTGAGATATGTTGTGGATTTCGTGAACGTTTTCGAAATCGACCACTCCAACGGACAATGAATACTAACGAGCGACGACGGACGCTCGCGACGCGTGCCAAAACATTTTAGGGTCACCGGAACCACCCCTCCGCAGTCGTCTCTCTTACCCACGAATGCAAAATTTATGGTTCGCGGTTGGTATCGCAAAAAATGACATTCATTACTTCCACGAGTTGCCATACATCGTGCCATATTACGGAACACATTACAATATACGAATTAGAAGGGTGGAATAAGGTAACTTCAACGGTAGAACTACCGGAAGTGGTCAAAATGATTTCTAACTTCTACTAAAAATAGTAAAAGAATTTACTCGACTGTATTCTTTCAGAACATTATATTCCTTATAATTGTCGGTAATTTTAGTATTGAAAATCGTTTTAAAATTCTGTGAACGAAAGTTTGAGAAACGTGGTGGGATTTAATCGTGCATCGCAGTCTGTATGTATTAATTATCCGATCGAACGAACGATCAACGACAGCCACGATGCCCGCGATATTCGCGTTCGTTTCGATGATTGCACACATTGCGGTTGCTCGACGAGTCGGTTTCCGTCCCAGCGAACGAACAGAGGCCGGTGGAACGTCGTCTTGAAAGCCCCGGGGCTCTCTTTAGGCGAGCATAAAAGGATTATTCACGACAAAATAATACAAGAACTCCGCTCGGTTTCGCATTAAAGACACTCCAAGATTGCTCCTCTATAAAGGGGGATAGTGTTACATTGTGCAACGAGTGCGTTCGAGAAACACCCCTGAGAATGCGCTCTCGAGGCCCTCAAATGGCCCGTATACGACCGCGTCCTCCTCAAAATATCGGTTAGAGGCCCCCGAAGATCGCGAGAAACTCTCCCGATCGGCCTAATCTCCGCGTGTTCACACGCGCGTGAATTTGAATTCGTCAAAAAAATTTGTCCGCCGTTCGTCGATAATCCCCTTCATCGACGGATTTCCCTTGCACGAATTCAAAACGAACATTTCTCGTTTATTCCAAACGCTTTCAGGACTCTCTGCTCGCCGGTGAATTTATTCAATTTCCGGGCGCCGGGGGTGTAACTCGATCTATTTTCCCTATCGAGAATAATCGCGCGTTCCGCGAACCCTGGCGACCTAGGTAATCCCTTGGACCGATTTCCGCCAACGAGAATCGAACGTTTCGCCTTGTCCCGTATTCAAACCGCTCGCATGATCGAGTACGGAGAATGGCGAGGTACCTGTTCGATCCAGAGCCGACGATTAGACTTTGCTCTAATCCTGGCCAAAGTTCGAGTGCACGTGTGCTGCCCGGGCTGGTGAATAGGAAAAATGTATTTCAACCTCGAAGATGCAAGAATGGGGATAGAAACTCTGTTTGGTCGAAATATTTCAATTTTTATACGCTGGAGAAACGTCTATTTTATTTTATTTTCACATATATTTTTATCTTGCTTAGCACGTTTCACCCTCGACTCTCGTATTTCTTACTATATTGTTACTAAGGAAACAGAATTATATAAACGATGTATCGAAAACTGAATCATCGTGGATTTATTTGGTGCACGAATTCTGGACTCGAGGTCACTGGACTTATATCGACGTTTCGACGATCGAAGGCGTTGAAAAACGGGCGAAACGCCGCAGAAAACAATCGACAAACCTACTGTCGATCTATTGTGAGAGGCTGTGTAACAGTCGACGTCACGGAGAGCGTTCAGATCGAATCTGCGTCACCTCGCTTGGACGCAGTCTCCTGCTCTTAAGGCGAAACAGATAGCATCGAATTTGTCCAAAACAGTGGGGGTTGCTGTCGAAGGAGCCGGGGGTTAGGTTAACGTACGGACTCTCGGGGCGAAGAAATGTAGATGGGTGGTTCCTAATCGGGGAAAATACCTTTTGTCGATGGACGATGTTCGCTGACGCGAGGAAATCGTGAATTTGTAACAGAAACGATTTCTTTTCCCACCTCGACGGGGAATTTTTGCTTTGTTCCTTTTCGATCGAGGGAGTGCTCGTTAAACGCGTAGTTTTTTCGCAATCTTTGGTATTAATATAATAATTTTTGCGCAGTAATGGGACAGTAGTAACGATAGTACATATTACTGATAGCAATGAATGATGTTTACGATACAAATGAGGATGATAATAAGTTTATTAATAACGAGGGTAATTACGATAATAATAGTGGTATTAATGGCTGTAATAAAGATGATGTCGAGAGTGTTGATGTCTGTAATAAAAATGATATCGATATAGGTAATAAAATTATCTGTTTTGGTTCATCGAGGACGAAATTTATTATAATTTAATAATATTTCTTACTACTTCTTTCAAATAAAAATCGTGCGGGGTATACAAAAGAGAATTTTTTTTCGAGGTGCTAAATATTATTTCTCAATGAAGAAATTTAAAAAATACTTAAAAATCCCTCATTTCTCAGCCTCCGTAAGTAGTTTTTTTCTTCGTAGTTTTTAGAATTGTTTGGCTCATTGTCATTGCCAGTTCGAAATTAAACACTATATCGAAGTACGCGGAGGGGTTCGAAAATTACGCGCGAAACAATGGTTGTAAAGAAAACGATCGTTATGGGAAGCCACCCTCGATCCAGCATTCCTCGTCGCGATTCCGTAGTGCAAAAACCGCGATTCCGCTGCAATCATCCGGCGAATGGCGTTTGCGCGTGGCGTGTCGCGAAATCCGACGCGCCGCGTCAAAGATACCGCGCTCGATCATTGAGATCTCTATCGTCGCGCGATTGGCGCGGCCACAAAAACTGCTGTCGAAGTACAACGTCGACCTTCCACGATGATCAGAAGCGTGTCGGGAAATAACAGGTTGCCGGTTTCCATTTAATTGGTAGCCGATCGGGACCAGTTCGTCTGGAATAACTGACCTACGTTCGAGAAAACCGGGCACGCCTTTGGCCGGGCCCCCTCCGCGATCCACAGGATCGAAACGTCGTCCGAAAGTGGCGATCAAGGTGACAGTTCCCCGTGGACTTTATTACGAACAGCCACCGAATCTGCCTGGCGGCGCAAAGTCGACGAACCCGTGGCGTGCTCTTTTCATCTTCCTTTTTTTTTTCATCGGATCGTTCCTTCCAGCCTTTTTCGCCTCTTGCGTCGTGCGGAGATCCTTGAAAGAATATTTGACGCGCGACGAGACCAGCTTGTAACTGATTGTTAACTGATGAATCGAGTTGTCGCGGATTGCTCGATTAATGCGTCGCGAT